AGAGGAGTATGACTGGAGTCATAGAATAGGAAATCGGTAAGTAAGGATAGGACCACAAAAAACTTTCAGATAGGGTTCAGGGTTTAAGAATCAGGAAYAACTCAGGTTGTACAYTRTACGAAAAAGGCGATTTCAAGATAGTCTTAAAAAACGTTTGTAATGAKAGGGGTGAAGGTTTTTTGGGTATAGGGTTTAGGGTTTATAAGGTAATAAGGTAAATAGGCTTTCGAACTTTTGAGGAGATAGAATACAGAGAACACTACAAGCATCCCAGATGGCTCCCACATAACAGACTTACACGACAGTTTCATAGCTTAGAGGAGCAGATCTGGGATTAAAAGGATTGATAGGCAAAAATTAGATCAGGCTAAATTAAAAAAGGAAATGGGAGAGAAAGTGGAGGTCAATGGATTGAGGTTTAAGCAAAATAGATGTTATAGTTAAGGGTTTAGGGTTTGGGAAGACTTAAGAGCGAGGGCTTAGGGTTTATGGCTTAGACAGAAACAAGCCAAAAGCTGTTATAGAATTTTAGAGGCTTCAAAAGGCATATAAGTGTTTCAGAATGCTCTTGTATAGATACCTGACAGCTTCATAGCTGAGAGGAGCAGATCTGGGATCAGAGAGATTGGCAGGCAGAGTTAGTGCAGGCTAGATTAGGCCGGGGTGAGAGGTGGTACATCCTTCCTCAGGGAAGTAATCAATGCTGCCTACTCGGGCCTCTCAGCCATAATGGGGAGGAGCGTGTGTGTGTCTTTGATGTATTCCATATTGACTTGCCGGGGGAATAGGAACCGGACTGTCGCTCCCCAGAATGGTAGGAGCCACAACCGCGAGGTTCTGTTCTTTTGGGGAAAAAAAAAACAGGAAACTGTACAGCTCCCAGACAGAGGGTGGGGATAATGCCAGCGTAAGTAGAGTGGGAGGGAAATTTCTAAAACACTTGGACAACAGCACTAAACCAGAGGCAGCAGCATACCTAGACAAGGACATCACACCAGCAGAAGTGCACGCGGCACTGGACTCTATGAAGCCAAATAAGGGTTCCTGGTAAAGATGGACTGCCGAAGGAATTTTGGCAGGAATCCTGGCCAATATTATGGAAAGACCTGTTTCGCTACTTCCAGGAATCATTCAAGGGTTGTAGCCTGGGGGAGGAACTCAGCACAGGCATAGTAACATTACTGTATAAAAAGGGAGAGAAACAGGATATAAGAAACTGTAAACAACCTATATCACTATTACCGGTAGCATACAAAATACTGGCTGAAAGTCCTGAAACCATAGCTCATAGAATCAGGAATGTATAGACCAAACAGGCTTCATACCAGGGTGATTCATCCTGGGCAATGTAGTCTGTCTAAACGAGGCCGCCAAACTGATAAGGGATAAGAAATTGCAAGCGGCGATCCTGTTATTTGATTTTGAAAAGGCCTATAAGGCTATGATCAAGTAAACTGGGTTTTCCTACAGCAATGCATGGAAAAAATAGGGGTTGGCCCAAAATTCAGGAGATGGGTGAGGGTCCTATACACAGATGCGAGGGGAAAGGTCCAAGTAAACGGTTTCCTGTGAGAAACCTACAAGATGTCCACGTCTGTAAGGCAAGGGGACCCCTAAACTAGGCCACCAAACTGATAAGGGATAAGAAATCGCAAGCGGCGATCCTGTTCTTTGACTTTGAAAAATCCCATAATCAAGTAAACAGGGATTTCCTTTTTTGAAAAGGTCCAGGGTGTAGTAGAGGGTGGTGGCCAGGCCTCAGGAGATGCCCTTAGTACTCATCCATTGGGAGGTCAGATGGATTGCAGGGACCCAGGGGGACGGAGTCACCTCAAGATGGCACCACGGTACCATGACCTATGCTAATGCTCAGATCGCAGGTCGTGTGATCTGCGCCAACGCTTACGTGCCGGACTAACCTGAACGTCTACGTCCAAACACTACCCTAACTCAAATGTTAAGGACGGCCTGGGCACAGGTGGGGTCCATGCATATGCAGTCATCCCCCATCAGTGCCTCATCCCGCACCCCGCAGACTCTATGGGCAACGAGCCTCCCTTCCACTAAGATGTTACATCTCGCCCTCCCCTATCCTAAGCATGATGCCTTCCTACCCAATGAAGCACCACCCCCAGGCATTGTGAGATACCTGTGGGATGAGAAGTACCCAGTACCTACCCCATACTAACACCCAGTGTGTGCATAAGATTATGCCCCCCGAGTGAACCACTGTTTCTTCGAGTGCGGAAGTGCCCACGAACTATGGGAAGGATGCAGAAAGGCGAGGAGCAAGCTGTCTGAGACAGACTATCCGTCTGATGGATTCTTCCTACAGACAGCGATAGACAGAGAAGGCCTGGTAGAGGAGGAAGATGGAAAAATACTGGAACTGCTGAGAAAGACCAAGATGTGGGTCATTTGGAGGGCAAGATGCAGCAAAACACTGAGCAACAAAAAACTCTCGGCACAAGAATCCTGGGAGGAGCCCAAAGAAATCATGGAAGCAGAAATCAGGGTAGAATGGAAGCATGTGGTAGCTAGAGCGGACGGAGAACCCGATAATCTGAAGGGAGCATGGGTACAAAAAGACTCCGAGGAAGCATGGTCAGAAGAAGGACAAATAGCTGAAGTTGCAGGGAAAACCCTCACCTTTAAGAGATGGAGTGACCCGGAAGCGGGTACGCTAGACTCGACAGATCATGAGGAAGATGATAATATGGACGTAGATCTTCAGAAATTGGAGAACACAAGGGTTTCAGCCAAGCGACCACTCAAGCTAGGGGATCCTGGGAAAGAGCACAGAGAGGTAGAGCAGTATACCAGGAACACCAGAAAGAAAGTGGGGAACCACCATACACATCTCAAGGATACCAGACGGATCAGCCACAGCATGGTTAACAGCCTTTCCGTCAAATACTCCCCAAGGACAGGTAAATGGACATCGTGACAGGGAAAAAAATAGACAGGTCAGCATAACAGAGGAGGTAGGTCAGAGTTTGCACACAGCTCCAGGTTCGCAGAAACATCTGACCACTAGAAAGCGTGAGAGGAGCACAAGGGGGCAAGGATGGGACTGAATGCGAAGGACAAGTTCACACCTAGTTCCTATAGTCTAACTTGGGCAGTGGTGAGGGGAGGTACATCCTTCCACTTCGGCAGTGATCAATGCCTGCCCACTCCGGTCTCCTTGCCATAAAGAGGAGAAGCGTTGAGCGTGTACATGATGTATTCCATTCCTTTTGACTTGCCGGTGGAATAGGAACCTGACTGATGCTCCGCAGAATGGACAAGGAGCAAGAGCCATAAGGTCCTGTTCTTTTTTTTTTTCTTTTTTTTTTTAATATGCATCAAGAGAGTTCCACAGATTTTCAACATCTTCACACACACTTTCAATATTTTTTAATCGACTCTGGAGTCTTCACTTCCAAGTCTGGCATTTCAACTTCCATCACACATGTTTCCAACATGCAAAAAATATGACAAAGAAAAGAACAAAGATAAAGACCCCCCCCCCCCCCCCCCCCCCCCCCCCCCCCGCCCCCCCCCCCCCCCCCACCCTCGCCCACCCCGTCGTTATCCTCATATCTCACAGTGTATGCCTCCCACAGGCTATCTGGGTAATCTGGCCATTTTTGCTGCTTGGAAACAACCTGCGATCAGTCATAACAGAGAGACAACAAACAACCCCACAGGCGATGAGAACCGTGACGAGTCTCGCTGAAGCAACCTGCAATCAGCCTTTTCTTTCTTTCTTTCTTTCTTTCTTTCTTTCTTTCTTTCTGTCCTAAACCCTAAACCCTACAATTAGCTATAGTAGATGAGAATCCAGAATGTGTCTGGCTTGAGGCTGACATATGTGCAAAGCGTACACAGACATGTTACTGCTGCCAAACAGCTCATCAGTGCGAACCCGGCAGGCTATAATCAGAAAATGACCATGAGCCAATCCAACAAGAATAGAAGCATAGACTCGTAACCTTAGGGTAGCTTAGCTTCGGCTAAGTGAATATAAGCTTCCTCTTAAACCACCAGTACACGGCCTCAGCCATGCAGCAAAATAACTTGTCGCCACAAGAAGTAAAAGGCGGGCTCGGGGCAGGGTCGGAGCATCAGAAGGTTTTCAAATTTTTGGGCCCATGTCAAATCCGCATGTCCCAAAAAACAAAACAAGCTTTGGCCTTGATTGCAGTTGGATACACTTTTTGGAGTACTCCGTGTGAGCCTGCCCTCAGTGAGGGCACTTCGGCAGAAGGAGGAACACGGGGAGCACTACTGTCAGACAAAAAAAAGAACAAAAAAAAAGAAAACCAACCAAGCTTTAGCCGTGAAAGTGGTTGGATTCATTTCAACGGCTAGTGTAAGTATGCCCTCAGGGAGGGCGTTTTTAGCATGATGTGCGCTCCCTTGCTGGCAGCGAAAGGAGGAAAAGAACGAAAGCAGAAAAAAAGAAAAAACAGCAACGTTTTCCTCTCCCCGTAATAGTGGTCAGATGCATTCTGGAAAGTGATCACTTGAGTATGGCCTCCACGACGTCCTTCCTCGACATCATTGATCTCTGGCTTGTTTGTTCCTTTCTTTTTCTTTTTTTTCCCCCCTTTCAGGTAGACTGTCGGGACCGGTGCCACTTCTGAAATTCCCACTGCAAGTACCCTCACGCAGAAGGCTCGGAAAACAGCGGCGCGCAGTGGGCAGGTAGGTTCGGGATTTTAGGTGCGGGTGGACTGGTGGTTTAACATCCATAAGTAGGTAGAGGCTGTGATCTGTGGTCAACTTGCTAGGACTTCTACACGAGGTATATATATGGGGGTATCTATAGGGAGGTAACGGAGAACAAAAGAGGGTAGGAAAAAAATAATAATAATAAAAAAAATGCAACTGTCCCCCATATGAGCACCAAAGACTGGTGACAAGTCTGGCGTAAAAGGTGTGGGACGTTTGTTATAATGACCCTGAAAAAATCCTGAAAATTTAGGGCTCTGTTAACCACGGGGGTAGCTATAGGGAGGTAACGGAGAACAAAAGAGGGTAGGAAAATAATAATAATAATAAAAAAAATGCAACTGTCCCCCATATGAGCACCAAAGACTGGTGACAAGTCTGGCGTAAAAGGTGTGGGACGTTTGTTATGATGACCCTGAAAAAATCCTGAAGATTTAGGGCTCTGTACCTCTTCTCCATATGAGGGGAAGACAGATGTACTTTATTTTCTTAAAAAAAAAAAAAAAAAGATGAAAACCCGGACGCACCTGGTTTCTGGCTGAGGGCCTGTTTGCACCACTCGTCATCCGCCAAGATATTGAATGCACCTGGACAGATAGGCGTCCAGATGCATTCAAACTCCTGGCAGATGGTGAGTGGTGCAACTAGGCCCTGAGTCTTTACAACTTCACACACAAGTTGCTTGACAAACAAACCACTGAAGCACAATTCAAGCACCACTATAGTCAGCCTGAATCCACACACGCGGAGGAGGTCTGTACTGGCCTGCAGAATCCTGGCCTTCGGACCGTGAAACTTTCTCGTTTTGGGGGGCTGGCTCTGGCAGTTTCATTCAAATCCTGATGGATAACTTTTTTTTTTTTTTTAAGGCTAATTCTTTAAGCCCAACCAATTCAATTACCTGTCAAATCTGGACAGGACGGCCTTTCAGGCCTTTTTTATTGTCATCATAGTATTACGGGGAACCCCGTAGCAGCCACATCCGTGCTCAAGCCTCCAACGAGGGAACATGTGGGAGCTGCACCCACCAGCAGGTGCGATACCTGCTACAGCAGGTGGGCGATACCGGCCAGGGGTCAGCCGGTAGCATCAGGACCGAGCTTCTTCGATGGGCCAGTCACTGTGCCTCCCCTCCGGTCCCCTCCCCCTGTGAACATCAAC